ATTTAATTATGATATCAGAATGATCCAGGTATCAAAATGTAGCTTTTAAAGACAAGAATCTGAAAATGTAATTAGGTCATTTTGATTAAATTTGACTTAATCCTCATTTCAATATGATGGCTCACATATATTTTGTTTTTAGGTCATCAAAAATGCACCAGAACTATTATTCAGATTGAGGATCTGAAAGGTTAATTAAATAATAGTAACTTACTTTTACAACTTATTTTATTCACATAATCCCATTTTAAAAACATAGAAATGAAGCTTTAATTAAACAAACACAGGAATGCACATCACCTGCCTTTCAGACGTTTACATTCAGATTAATTTATGATGAGAACTGAAGCATAAAGTGAAAAACTGGTGTCAACAAGCTGACATTAATATGATGCTTTGAGCATGAAAATAATGACAACTTTACAACTTTACTTTGGTGCAAACTAAGGTATTATATTAGTGAAATGAACAGTCATGATAGCTCCAGTCATATCATTTGACATWAATTCAAAGCTTAAAAAAAAGGATTAAATTTACACACTGTGGAAAATTAGCAAAAAACTGAAATATCTTTATCTCTATAAAAAATCCATTCACATAAGAATTCAGATTCTCATTTACAGCAATTAGGAATTAATATAAAATATCCTAAAATTTCTAAAATAAAACATCAGCTGACTGGGTTCATTTTGTAACAGTGCACCATGTTTCAATTTATCAGGAAATAAAACCTAACATTAAGTGAATTTAAAGACAAATCAGCTAAACTCCTCGTATTAATTTCAGATTTCACTMTGGGTCACTGCTTACAGGAAGAACTGATCTGAGCAGGTGATTCAGTAAAATATTCAGAGCAGAGCAGCAGGTCTAACGTCTGAACCACCTCCCCYTCCGTCTCCCTCTGACCGCTGTCACAGATAAGATCTTTATCCTTCTTCTTTTATTTTCACCAAACCTTCTGCTGCTTTAACTTCGGTCTTTGGAGACACAGGATCTGTTTTCACACTGAAGTTATAAAGTAGATCACAGGTGAGATGAAGTTCAAAGACCTCACAGATTTCTGCAGCTGTGAGATTACAC